TTTGTGTAATATCAATAAATATCGGTTATCGGCCATAATACCAATAGTAATATCGGATATCGTATCGGCTGAAAATTTCATATCAGTGCATCCCTATTAAAAACCTGTAGTGACATTCGCATAATCTTTTTATTTTAATTCACCAATTTTAATGATCTTCTGACGAGCTGCTGCATCCTGACACACTCCGAGAAAGTCCTGCCGGTGGGGAGTATTGAGTTGAGGAGGGCGTAGGAAAGTGTCTTTATGATGCAGAAAATAGCAGGAAAATCCTACTGGCAAGTACAAAAAGCACAATAGAGTCATGACTGCCTTCACTTTAAAGGTTTTCCAAATTTGCAGCGATCCAGCTATGTTCTAACAGACGGTATAGGTCATGACAAGCATAGCAGGGTCATCATCTAGTGTGAAGCAGGCCGTAACTGTGAAGAACAAACACACTGATGTGATATTTTTATATTTTACAGAGCATTTACACCTCCCTGTTTGCACATTGATACATTAAGACAGTAGTACTGCAAAAGAATATGTTAATATTTAAATATCTTCTAATTTTTACTCAACTGCACATTCTTATAAATAGTTCTTAATGGTGAATCAGTATTCTGATGGCCAAGCTACAGCCTTTAGAGTTTAGAGGCTATTACAGTTTCCAACAGAAACAGATATGTGGGCAGAGGTTTGCTCTCCCCTCAGGGAATCAGGATTGATGGTCTTCATTTGAGAGTGGATCACATCTGAAACCAAGTGCTGAATGTAATCATGTAATTCTGGCTGCTGGAAAGGTAGGGGGTAAAATACTGTACAAAAGAACCAATGATATGTTATGTAACCAGTGTTGTTTCATTTGTTTTGTTTTTTTGTTGTTTTTTTGTTGTTGTTTTTTAGCTGGACAAAGCTAGTAATGGTAAGCTTAGTCTTTTTACCTTAGAGGTGACTTAAGGTGACACAATGAGCGCTACACATGAAACCGCACCTTCTGCTATTGACCAACAAACCACATCACTGCCTATTATTCCACACAAGCCAAACCCGTTTTTTTGTTCTGTTGAAACAGCATTTCAGACAAACCGGTTTGGCCACAAACTTCTTGAGAAATAACTACTAAATTGTTTACTCTTTGGCCTCATCTGAATGAACGAACGTGCATACACAGTCAGGGATTTTGAACGAAAAAAATATCACTAAAATAAAACTGAAATGTGCTGGACACTAAACCCAAGACATGCATATTAATAAGCCTAACTTTTTAAAAATAGCGGCACCAAAATGAGAGGCGAGACTTAAATCATTAAGATTTTAACAGGGAGCAGAAGAGCTGACAAGGTAGCGATGGCATACCTGCAGGGAGCATGATAGAAGGGGTATCCAGCCTGAGGTATGTGGTTGCAGTAGCCAGACTGATTCCACATGGTGCTTCTCTTGTTCCACGCAAAAAATAGTTCAAAAGTACCGAGGATGTTTCTTGCTGCTTTCTATTTCTAGTGCTGAGGAATCCGACTCAGGCTGCTGGGAGACACATAAATCAGTGCCGCTTCGCTCGGATTTCGAGAGGCTCCATGGGGAGAGGAGGTGAGGTGTTGCTTGGTGGGTTTGAAGGCTGGTATTTCCGAGTAGATGAGGTGAGAGAACGACTTCATATACTGAGCCCGGGCAAGTATGAGATGATGTCAGGTGAGTCAAGTCCCGGCGCTGGTAAAACACCTGGATAGGATGTCGTCTTGCTGTCTGCCTCACCTTAACAGCTGCAACTACTCAACAGAGTCTGAGACGACCGCTCCAGGTGAAGTCTGATATCACAGGTCACGCCTTCTGTCCTGCTTCAAGCCAGTCATTTCCTCCTCCCGTCTCCGTTGCAGTCACGGACAGCAGATGTCTTTGTTGTCAGTTTCGAATGGGCTTTATGTCTCACCTTTTAAACCATGAGAAAACCTTCCCTTACATCTCAATGACCTCAAAAGCATCAATCAAGTTGGCAACCTCGCAGGCAGAGATCTACATTTGACAGTTTATCAGTGGCAATCAGGAGAGTTCACACCTGCCACACGTGCCACACATTTTCTGCACACTTCACAGATGCCATAAATCCGTCTCTCGCAGAGATGAGCAGGTTAAAATCCACAGCCACGGAGTTCCTCTGCTATCCCTAGTTCTCCTCCGATGCAGCTGGCGCCATCACAAGTACTTATTCCCCAAAATCACAGGATCCTCACCAGCCTCACAAAACAGCCGTGGAGCAGTAAATGACTGAATGATCACAGAAAGGGAAAGGGGAGGAAGAGAAAAGCAGGATGTAACGGCGAGACACTGAATCTATCAAGAGCGAAAGGAGCGAGAGAACGAGGAAGAGGTTAATGGAGCGGAGCTGCATTCCTTTTCCCGCCTCACGCTCATCTGGCAGGATGCACACCGCTGAGAGAAGGAGAGTGAGGGTGTGTGTGTGTGTGTGTGAAAGAGAGAGAGGAGATCAGACGATATTAAAGAGAAGGATAAGAAACAGACTGATTGTTTGAATGCTCTAAAGCATTTAGGTTCAGTGTAATGTGAGAAGTGAACGCACACACCCAAGCAAACAGCACCTATTTCCTTTGCTTTACTTTGTAGAGAAACTTGATTTCTGTGGAATTTGTGTGACTACATTCTTGCCCTTTTACCAGAGTGAACTATTTCCAAATGTCAATTCAAGAAACCAGGAAGATACGTAGAATTTCAGTGGCTGTTAACCAAACAATGTTACAGTTTTGAAATTTACGATCTCATTTTGATTTAGCAAACCACTTTTTTCCCCAAAACTAATTTTGAGGTTTTGATCCCTAAAAGTCATCAAGTAGGAAGTGGGAATATACGGTCTATACTTACAAAATACATCAAACACCTGACATAATCTAGTGGCACAAAGCTACCGACAACTGTGGCTTGTTTGGCCAATATATCCAAGTATAAAATGGCACATGCTTACTATTAATAAATGACAAATATAGTTTTCAAAATGCACAATCACAAATGCACAATCACAAATGCACAATCACAGATTCTAACAGATCAGGATCAAACCACATGTTAGCAGATAAAGAACTTGATTCTAATCAATCAAACCAAAAAATCTTTCTTGACATCTACACAATCAGATTAATCAAATCAAGTCATTCTTTAAAATAAGTACTAAAAATAAATCTCAGTGAAAAACATATCTTGTATCTAATTTAATAACTCACTGTTTGTTGTTGACCAGATTGATGATGGCACATGACCTCGTAAAAACAACTAAAAAAATGTATCAAGATTTCAAGCTTTTTGAAACTATTTTAAACTATTTAAAAAAAACTATTTAGACTATTTAGAAGAACCCGTCCAGAGGACCTACTTATTTTTTTTTCTTTTTGCTTTTTTCTACCTGGATTACTGAGATGCATCAGGATATTTTAAAAAACAATTCCCAACTAACTTTTTAGAGCTATCTGTGCCTTGTACTACAATGCAAGTTCAACTTACTCCAGGTTTTTTTTAAAGAGATCCAGTTAAACTTACCCTAACTATGAGGAATTGTGTTTATTTTACAGGTCAACCAGTCTATAATGTTTAATTAAAGTGCTGCATGATTTTAATATAATTTTAAACATTTAACATATTTTGGTGGAAATAAATATGAACCAACAGACAGTTGTGTGATCATGATTTGTTTTGCTCTCAGATACTCTAACTTTTTTAAATTTTAATTGTGAAAACGTCTTTTATAGATACAATAATACAAAGAATGTTACTTATCCAAAAAAATTCAACAAACTTTAGAATACTTTATTCTGTTTTATGCAACAAATGTATTTGGTTCTGGTAAACCTTTTGCACAACAATGCTGACAGTTAACGTTAACTGCGGTGAACTATACTGCATATCCTCCCTGCAAGGGCAAGTCAGGCAAGTTGTTGCTGGTTCTGACAGAAAGTGGTTCCCACCCAAGTGTTTAAAAAGATCATCAAATGTCACAAGGGGTACATGAGGTCAATGGATATTAAAGAACACATCATCTCTACATATATTTGGGAACCAATGCCCTTTGTGTGATGCTTACAGATACTTCAGCCTCAAAAACAAAAACACTTCATTTATGAAAGTGACTTCCTTCCCTTTTGGGCTTAATAAATTTTAAAGACTTATTTTCAACACAACAAAAAAAAATACTTTTTTTTTCTTTTTTCTTTTTTTTTTTACTTGTTCCATAAAAACTGGCCAAACACTCAGTTTCAAGTTGTTGCATTGGAAACTTCAAAGCTGTCATACACAACTTCCAGCCATGTTGTAACAAAAAAGGATCATACAGGCTGTCACAAGCATGACACCTCATCTCTGGACAAAGGTGAATGGTGTTCAATGTAGCTTGTTTTCTGTTATTTTTATTTTTTATGTTTTTTTTTTATTAAAGGAAAACTAAATCAGATTTTTTTTTCTGAAAAAAAAAATGGTGCCAAAAAGGTTTGTGTTCATGTTTAAGTGGTCAGTATGTGTTAATTTCTATAGCAAAAGAATCTAAATAAAAAAGCACCTTCATTTGACAATTTGGACCTGATTACACACATCTGTAACATTTATATCATACTAAATTTATGCATACATTCAACATAAAATAATTTCTATAACTTTGCTGCACATTAAAACACAACCTGTTGTGTTCTATGATAAATAAATATGTCTGGAATAACAAGGCAGCAGAAATGAGAGCTGAAAGCGAATGCAGACTGTCTGTTTTTAGTCCACAGCAGGTTTTTAAAAATAGCCCACAACCTGAGTCAAACCTCCCAATCAGAGACATCAAGCCTGCAGGTGAAAGGTCACCTCTGTGGAGCAGAGATATGCTGTCTCCCCCAAGAGGACAACTACTCCTGTGTCTTACTAAGCAGAGTGCAGCTATGGTCTATGACTCTGCTATAAGTACAATTCCCAGTGCACTTAAGAAACAGCTAATGACACAGCAGTAAAGATGGACACAAAAATAGCTTCATGAACTTCAAATTAAATCCAAGACATGTAATCAGATGTTAAAATGGGGGTTTGCATAAAGAGAAATAGGTCTGACAAGCTAAAACCATGCAGTCACTGAATAACCTCATTAAAATCATATAAATTATGCCTAAGTGAACCTTGATAACTCATTGAAGAAAGTTAAAAACTAGTGCAGTGACATGACTTTATATAAATATTTAATGGAAGAAGCTATTTTCCCCTTTAAAGCATGCATCATTTTCCTTTGTTAAACTAAACTCATTTAACACAGTAGTTAATGCTGATCTTAGTGGCTTTATAAAAATGTTTAAAAGAAAAATGCAAACGGCAACCCGTGGGTGATGTCAGTCCGACTGACCGATGAGTTCATTTTTTATTTTATTTTATTTTATTTTAATAGAAAAATACAGTATATTTCAAATCTAAATGCATGATTTAATTCAGAAAAATAAACACATTTAATTGCCATACAGCTACAAGATAATACCTGTTATTTTTACATAGTGGGAGGTATAAGCACTGCCACCATCAGGGTGAAAACAGAAAATTGAACTGAAAACTTAAATTAGAAAACAGAAAACGGGGTGCCCCCTCCCCACACTTAAGGAATAAAAACAATCAGCTGATTTTAAGACATAAAACTGGTCATGCCCTGTTGCACTTCTATCCTACATTTCACTTCACATAACAAAAACTCTGACACAAGTTCAAGAAGCAAAGGACACATAAAACAAACAAATCAATTCTAAAGCAATAATATTTAGAAAGTGCACTAATCAGACGCAATTGCCTAAAGTGTGTGTAGAATCTGAGCTGAGGAGGGGTGGGGAAGAACGCAGGCAGGTTGGAGGTAAACATTGCCGCCTGGTGACCTCTGACATGAGGTTTAAAATGTATTCATACGGCCTGAAGGGATGTCGTCATCTGTGGTGTAATTGGCCTGTAACAACATGTCTTTTGGCTTGGGGTGAGAGTGCAGAAAGAGGAAGGGAAACAAAAGATGGGAAGAGGGGAGGGGGGACCATGGAGAGAGGAAGGAAGCGAGGGAGGGAGGAAGAAGGGGAAAAAAAGACAGGAGGGAGTGGGAAAGGTGAAAAGAACAGAGGATGGGGGCATGACTATCTCCTGCTGTTTGTTTTTGTTGTAAAAATTTATTCCAGAACAATTTCATCAGGATCAGAAAACACGGGGGACTCTGCTGCCTCTTCCCTGTGTGCCTCCGTGTTTGCTGTCCTTGTTTGAAGAGGCAGGTGGACACATTCCACCCACACGCAAATGCATACAAACAATGAGAGGTGGTTCACATTTGCTGCAAAAGCCTCGCCGGTAAACGTGTTGGGGAAACCTGAAAGGGCTTCAGCCACTAAATCGCATACTTATGCAAAAAATGCAAAGCAACAGCTTACACGGGAACAAAAAAGGAAGCAGTCTGTATCGTTAGATGTGCACATAGCCCACAGCCGACATCCAGGAGACATCTGACAGCTGTGTTGAATCATTATGTCAGTGGGAGTGATGGCAGGAGTGTGATTGGGCCTGTGGTTCAGCTTATCAGGCTTTTACAGCCTAAACCCCCATCGCCACTCGTTTTAAAATGCACAAACAGACCTCTGCTTGCTCATCTCTGTGGTCAAGGTCACCCAGGAGCCCATATCCATGAAAATCCTTAAAAAATATGATTTTAGTTTTCTCCCCTCTGAGTGAAACTGACCAAAACAGAGCAAGGACGTAATTCAATAACTCAGTAATAACCTGAGGTTTCTTGCTGTGCACCTTAAGTCACAGCTCATGGCTGGATATGATCAGCTCAACGATGACGCTGCACATCTGCCTTTGTTTCCCTGTAATTACAGTAAGGCATTGTTTAATAAGAGCAGAATTTCTTAAAGGAATGTGTATTACCTGATCCCTTGGATGCCAACGTTTTAAACAAAGATGTTTGATAATCTCTGTGATAGACTTGTGACCTGTCCAGGGTGTACCCCACCCCTCGCACTGTGACTGCTGGATATGGGCACCAGTGACCCACGCAACCCTGAAAAGGAAGAAGCGTGTACAGAAAATGGATGGATGTTTGATAATCTGTTCTAGCTCAAATTATGTGTTGGGATTACCTTCACTAACAAACCACACTTTAGCTCAATAACTGTAAACAGGCATTTTTTATATCCAAGTTTGATTACCAGTGCCAGCCATCTCAAATGGAGTAGACTCCAAATAAAAAAAAATAATAAATATATAAATAAATAAATAAAATGTCGATGTACAGGGGTTGGACAATGAAACTAAAACACCTGGTTTTAGACCACAATAATTTATTAGTATGGTGAAGGGCCTTCTTTTGCGGCCAATACAGTGTCAATTTATCTTGGGAATGACATACAGTATACAAGTCCTGCACAGTGGTCAGAGGGATTTTAAGCCGTTCTTCTTGCAGGATAGTGG